TGAAAATTGTGCGATCATGCAACACTGCACCCAAATTACATTTACATCCTTTTTGCCACAAATTGAGCTTTCTTTCTGTGGTATTTGATCGCCTGTGCGGTTTTTATATTTTTTGCGCTATAAAAAAAAAAGGCTGACAATTTTGAGAAAAAAAAACAATATTTTGGACTTTTTGCTATAAAACACGTCCAGTAAAAAAATGTAAAAATCAAATTTAGTCATAAATTTCTGCCAAAATGTATTCTGCGACATGTCTTTGCTAAAAAAAATCCCAACACGTGTAAATTAATTGGTTTACGTGAAAGTTATAGCGTCTACAAATGGCGGGAAGATACTGGGATTTTTTTCTATGATACTAATAATGGCGGCGATCAGCGATTTATGACAGTGATCAGCGACTTATGGCGGGACTGCGGCGGACATTTTGACACTGTGGGGGAACTGACTTGGGGTCACTGACATTCCCAGTGACACCAATACAGTGATCAGTGCAAAAAAAAAAAAACACTGACACTATACTAATGGCACTGGGGAGGAAGGGGTTAACATTTTTTATGTAATGAAAGGGTTAACTGTGTGAGGGGAGTGTTTTACTAGAGGGCGGGGGTGTGTACTTCACAGGAACACTCTGATCCCGAGAGATAAAGTCTTCTCTCAGGTTCAGCGTGCTCTGAACTGACAGATAGCAGAGCTGCAGTGTAAACACTGCAGCCGTGCTCTCTGTCAGTGATTGCCGGTAATCGCCGGGACTCAGCAGGTAATGACCTTCTGGGACCCGATGATGGACACCCGCTGCCTCGATCGGCTGGACGAGTAGGCCCCCCAACTCTGGAAGAGACTGGAAAAAAAAGGAAAAGTGCAGGAAGAAAAAGCAAGGAGACCAGCAAAAGGAAAGAAGTGAGGAGAGCCAGAAGACGCGACCCCAGAAAGGGGGATTGGAAGGGCAAATGCCAACATATTAGAGATTAGTGAGTTTCAAAATGAAGCATGAGATCGGATGATAGTCCACCCAAGGTTGACAGACTAAAAGGAACCTGTCATGGCTGTCTTCCAACACCGCTCAGTTTTTCATTGATAAAGAAGCCTTGGATCCTAGACCTGACCTCCTCAAATTGTAAAGTAGGGGACTTCCAAGAGCTGGCTATAGTTTGTTTAGTGGCCATAATCTTTCCCCAGTTTAGGAATCATCACTATATGGGCCTTTAAAATTTCCAAAGTCAATTGACTGTCTCGCTTAAGCTGGTCGAATACCTGGATCAAAACAGGGACTACTATATCGCTAAATTTCTAATAAAAGAGAGCTGTGAAACCATCAGGGCCCGCGCACCTATGCAATTTTAACGAGTGAATTGTTTATCTAAGTTCATCTTGCGTGATATCTGCACCTAACATCTGCATGTCCCTCTGAACATCCGTTATACTGGGAAGATGAGTCTCATGAAGGGACATATTAATGGCGTCCGTAGAGGTTCTCAGACATTTTCTAATTATCAAAGTATAGTGGTGTTGTTTGAGATGAATGATCATAACTTATTAGCTAGCATAGTCCCTATCTTGTTCCCATTCGCATAGAATTTCTAACGAGGCCAACGCAGTTGACGCTCAGCCTCAATCAAGCATAGGTTCAGATCTGTACGTAGGCGGCTCAGCATTTGGAGTCTGCTTAAAAAGTAACATGACCTGCTCAAGCTCACGTTCTATAGCTTGTCTATGCAAATCCCGTTCCCTACGCCTCCTGGAGGCCAACTGTATTATGTGGCCCCCGATAACCGCTTTATAGTCTTCCCAAACAGTAATTGAAGAGGAAACCGAACCCAGATTATTCCAAAAGTATTCCAACGAATGAATCTTAACATCTTTAACTACAGAGGAAAAGGAGAAGAGGGAATCACACCAGGCAGGAGCTCTTGGACGTTAAGATGGCACTGAACATCGCGTTAGTATAGGATCATGGTCAGACCAAGGGACCATAGGAATCCCGATTTGAGAGTAATTGTGGAAGGAAAGAAGGGGTGACAAAAAATGTGATCAATACGAGAATAGGTAGAATGAGGATTGGAATAAAAGGTATAATCTCTAGAAATGGGGTGAAGTTCTCTCCAGGCATCGACGAGATTATGAGACCAAAAAATATTGGCGAACTCCACAGACAGTGGAGAGGAAGCCGATGAGCCTGAAGGAGATTTATCTAGTTTAGGATTGAGGACTAAGTTAGAGTCGCCTGAAAGCATAAGATGACCTTTCTGATGAGTCTGGCGAACTGATAAAAGGTGCATGAACAAAATGGGTTTTTCTCTGGATAGATGTGTAATATGTGCAGATCGTAACATCTACATCATGCAGGGTCCCCACTACTATCAAATACTGGCCCTGGGGGTCCGCAACTACTTTATGCTCCTGAAATGGCAAGGAATTGCGAATTGCCAAAAGGACACCATGTCGGATGAGTTGGCGGGGCACAACCCTACCCCCAGTGCTGGGTAGGGAGGACAGCCCGCTCCCACAAGCCGGTCCCGCATAAAACAAGACGAGAATCTAAACAGGTTGCCAAGCACAGACCGCATCCCCTCACAACACTGGGAGTATAATACATACATGACGCCAAGAATCGACCGGCAGCATACCCGATTGGGCTCAATGCATCCGTCAACTCTAGAATACCTAGTTCATAATAAACAAATACAATATTAAACCGAACCACCCTCCTAAAGGGCAATAACCCATAAAACAACTGACACAGAGAAAAAAAAACGAAAAAAACCCCCAAAAAACGAATGAGCTCACGACAGTGACATCCCAGCTTCAGAGTGGCGAGAGGGGCAGAGAAACCCCCATGGTGACAGTCTCAGGGAATCAGCAGGATACTTGAGCAGGAAAAGACCTGAACCCCTTCTTAAAGTCAAAGGGAGAGACCAACCCAACAGATAAACACTGAAAATAAGCCACGGGGGTGGCAAAAAGAGGAACAAACCAACTTCAGATGGTTATGAGGGTCAGCCTGTCCCCACCGATTGGAAAGTCTGTAAATGAAGCCAAGCCATTGCTTGGGATCTCGTCAGCTTCTCGGTTAGAGGATCGTCGTGGACTGCGGAGTAGTCGAGGCAGATGCGTTGAGAAATTCGTTGAGGAAGTCTGTGATGTAGAGTTGGGATCTAGGAGGTTCAGATCTGACAGACAGTGTTTAAGGTCAAGCGGGTTAAAGGAATCATACGGAGACCCTTGTATACAAAAGACAATCTAAAGGGGAACCCCCACCGATAATGAATAAGATTGTCCTGAAGGATTTGAAGATAGGGTTTCATAGATCTACTGTACTCTTCAATATTGTAGTCTGAGAGAGGTGGGAGTAAATGTGATAGGGATGACTCTGAAAAGAAAGGGCCTTCGTTTCTCTAGCCACTCGCATCACCTGATCTTTCGTTTTATAGTAATGAAATTTCAATATGATGTCCCAAGCAGGACCCTCAGGTGGCCTTCGGCTCAAGGCCCTATCAATCTCCAAACGATCCACCGGAACATCAGGGATCAGCTCTTGCAGTAGGGATAACACAAAGCCATGGAGCCATCCGTAATAGTCTCAGGTAGGCTTCTGATACGAATATTACTGCAATGAGATCTGTTTTCAGCCTCTTCCAGCTGATTTTTGAGGGTGTGTAATTCCGCCTGTAGGTTTTCTATATCACCTTCATGCCCATCTAGAACCGTAGTAGCATCATCCATTCTGTGTTCTAAGAGAGCAGCTCTCTCACCCACATTTCTGATTTCTTTAAGTAAATCAGCTGATAATTTGCAAGAAAATCTCACTAAGTTCTTCATGCACAATCCCCCTGATCTTACCCAAGAGAACTGTGTTGGGGTCCAAGAGGGGCAGCTGTAGGGGAGAGGGGAATTGCAAGGAGCTGTCTATCGAGTCCTCAGAGTCCCCCAGTGAATGCCGCGTGGTCTCATCTGCAGGGGAAGCCAGCGCCATCTTGGCTTGGACTCAGCGCTGTGGCTTAGAATCGGCCTTGTTGCTTCAGTTTGGCCTTATCCGGAGGGGCTATGGTCACGGATCAATCCCCCGTTCACACCGACACAGGCAGGGACCAGCGGGGACATTATAGGCTCCTTCTAGCTGCGGAGGGAGGAGGTTAAGTGCCCGGGGTGAGCGGAGCTAGCTCAGACAGCAACCATCTTGGGTAGCCTCGAGCATGCACCCCCCGGACAAGTAGTTTTTTTAAAAAATGTCCACACCCCTGAAGCAGTATCAGTACACTTATGGCCTGCAAGTTGTTAAAATAGTTAAAGGATCCTAGAACTCCTGACTTTATTTTTAAAGGTGAAGTTCACCTTTTCAAAAATTAATAAATGCCGATTTGTTTTTTCTGGAGCCTGCAGAACATTGCACCCATGATCAGCAGATCGCAGATGTAATCTCAGTCTTCGGCAGACTCTCAGCATAGCTGAGGAAACTGACGCAGCCATTTGGGTGGAGCCACGTATGGCTGTGCTCTTTTCAAATTGTCATAAGGGGTGCAGGGAGAACCGCCCTCTTCCCCCCACTGTAACAGGGAGAGGGGGATGAGGGGGGAGAGCGGCAGGAGCTGGCACATGTTACAAGTTCCACCTTTAAAAACGGGTTCTGAAAGTGAACTTAGCCTTAAACTACAGGGCTGCAGCCCTGATCTTATGGGATTCAGACTTTCCAGACTTCACTAGCTGCACAATTGTGTGCTCATCAACAGCAATGAGGGTGAGACATCTGGCGATTGTTAGTGCATTCTTCTTGCTAATCATCTGTGCCTCTTTACAGGTTGATATGCTAGGGAGAAATCACTTCCTTTCCTTTTGAGAAAGCAGAATGAAAAAACTTATATAAGTGGTAAACAAACAATTCTAACATTTGCAAGCCCAGATACACAGTACTGATCAATACTCAGAATGGTGGCACCCCACTCCCAGCATTCTGTATGTGTCTAGTTGTCGGTTTAGAGACAGCAGAATGAATAATGTATACTTACTACTTCTTTGGAGAATTGAACTTTAAGTGAGTTAAAGCTTGCCGTCTCACTTTCAGTTTCCAGTATCTGCATCACTTCTTCCTCATTTTTTAAACTGGCAGCTAACAGAAGCTAGAATTGAGAACAGCAACATGAGCATCAAAAGTCAACGCATTATATACCAGTTGCAAGAAAAAAATGAAAACCGGTACAGTTACAAACAGTATATAAATTGGAAGTGGCCAAATGTGTTACTGCAGCATCCCGGGCTCTCAAAGACAACAGAAAGTTTACAACACACACAAGGAATGGGATTGGAGTTATGAATAATATTCATAAAACTAAACTTTTTTTTTTTTTTAATCCCAGTGGAATACCCTCCCTGCTGAGCTGACGTGTCTTGGTCTTTAGAATACATGAAAAGTATGCGACCCCCTTGGCATTAACTGGTGTCCTGTAGTAATTTGCCATAAAATGTGATCTGATCCTCATCTAAGTCACAACAACAGACAAACACAACGTGCTTAAGCTAATAACACACAAACAATTCTAATTTCTTGTGTCTGTAGTGAACACAACCATTAAACATTCACAGTACTGGAGGAAAATGGAAGTGAACCGTTAGATTAATTATTTCAACAAGCTGATTGCAGTCAGTTTTCACCCTGGAGCCCAATTAATTAAATGAGTTTGGAGGCGTGGTTTACAACTACTTTGATTCATAAGACACAAATATTTTAAGATTGCGGTTCATAAGAAGCATCAGTTGATGAACCATGTCTCTCAAAAAGGAGCTTTCTGAAGATATATGATCAAGAGTAGTTCATCTACATAAAGCTGGAAAGGGACACAAAGCAATCTCAGTGTTTATACTTCTATCAGTCATCAGTTAGAGGAGGAGGGGGTTCACCAAATTTTTCTTGCACTGTACATAGCCTAACAAATACAACATTTAGCCTCTTCCAGTAAACTGAGAAACATAACGTATAATACAAAGCAGTCAATGGTAAGAGGAAAAATTAAAACTGAATTCCAAGCCCATAAATGTATATTATTTGCATATATGATTTCCCCAAAATTATGTGTTCAAGCATTGGAACAGGTGTCTAGGCTAGATAGAGGATATTCTAGTGCTGTTTCTCTGCAATTTTCTCTTTTATGTGACCAATCCCTACAGCTCATTACTTACAGTCAGGTCCATAAATATTGGGACATCGACACAATTCTAACATTTTTGGCTCTATACACCACCACAATGGATTTGAAATGAAACAAACAAGATGTGCTTTAACTGCAGACTGTCAGATTTAATTTGAGGGTATTTACATCCAAATCAGGTGAACGCTGTAGGAATTACAACAGTTTGCATATGTGCCTCCCACTTGTTAAGGGACCAAAAGTAATGGGACAGAATATTAATCATAAATCAAACTTTCACTTTTTAATACTTGGTTGCAAATCCCTTGCAGTAAATTACAGCCTGAAGTCTGGAACACATAGACATCACCAGACGTTGGGTTTCATCCCTGGTGATGCTCTGCCAGGCCTCTACTGCAACTGTCTTCAGTTCCTGCTTATTCTTGGGGCATTTTCCCTTCAGTTTTGTCTTCAGCAAGTGAAATGCATGCTCAATCGGATTTAGGTCAGGTGATTGACTTGGCCATTGCATAACATTCCACTTCTTTCCCTTAAAAAACTCTTTGGTTGCTTTTGCAGTATGCTTTGGGTCATTGTCCATCTGCACTGTGAAGCGGCGTCCAATGAGTTCTGAAGCATTTGGCTGAATATGAGCAGATAATATTGCTCGAAACACTTCAGAATTCATCCTGCTGCTTTTGTCAGCAGTCACATCATCAATAAATACAAGAGAACCAGTTCCATTGGCAGCCATACATGCCCACGCCATGACACTACCACCACCATGCTTCACTGATGAGGTGGTATTCTTAGGATCATGAGCAGTTCCTTTCCTTCTCCATACTCTTCTCTTCCCATCACTCTGGTACAAGTTGATCTTGGTCTCATCTGTCCATAGGATGTTGTTCCAGAACTGTGAAGGCTTTTTTAGATGTCGTTTGGCAAACTCTAATCTGGCCTTCCTGTTTTTGAGGCTCACCAATGGTTCACATCTTGTGGTGAACCCTCTGTATTCACTCTGGTGAAGTCTTCTCTTGATTGTTGACTTTGACACACATACACCTAACTCCTGGAGAGTGTTCTTGATCTAGCCAACTGTTGTGAAGGGTGTTTTCTTCACCAAGGAAAGAATTCTTTGGTCATCCACCACAGTTGTTTTCCGTGGTCTTCCGGGTCTTTTGGTGTTGCTGAGCTCACCGGTGCGTTCCTTCTTTTTAAGAATGTTCCAAACAGTTGTTTTGGCCACGCCTAATGTTTTTGCTATCTCTCTGATGGGTTTGTTTTGTTTTTTCAGCCTAATGATGGCTTGCTTCACTGATAGTGACAGCTCTTTGAATCTCATCTTGAGAGTTGACAGCAAAAGATTCCAAATGCAAATAGCACACTTGAAATGAACTCTGGACCTTTTATCTGCTCATTGTAATTGGGATAATGAGGGAATAACACGCACCTGGCCATGGAACAGCAGAGAAGCCAATTGTCCCATTACTTTTGGTCCCTTAACAAGTGGGAGGCACATATGGAAACTGTTGTAAGTCCTACACCATTCACCATGATTTGGATGGAAATACCCTCAAATTAAAGCTGACAGTCTGCAGTTAAAGCACATCTTGTTTGTTTCATTTCAAAGCCATTGTGGTGGTGTATAGAGCCAAAAATGTTAGAATTGTGTCGATGTCCCAATATTTATGGACCTGACTGTATATGCCGAGTGACTGCTCATCTACTCACATAACATGCAGCAGTGCTAATCACTGCCTGGTGTGGGATTTACCCATAGCAATATTCACTATATAGTATATGTACTCAAGGGTGTGGAAATTTTTGAAAAAACTACTTGTCCAGAGACTAAATTGGGGCCCCAATCTACTTGTCCTGATAATTTTTTTTTTTTTTTTAACAAAAACCGTATTTAAATCGGAGGTGATTTTAGGAGTGTCAGGGGGGGGCTTTTAAAAACAAAAGAGGCTTTAAGGTGACTTAAACATGTAATATTTTTACCATTGCGCTGTTTATCTCCTCTTTCCCCCTTCCTATCTTAAGCACTGCACCCAGGGACTAGCAGGGAGGCGGGAGACCTTGCAGTGTGATGAACAATGATTGGCTGCTCCTCAGGAAAGGGTGGGTCAGGGCCTATACTTTATTCCTTTCATAACCAGAGCCGTTTTTTGCACAAGTTTAAAAAATCATTTTAGGCCAGAAGATTATAAAAAACTCCCAAACATGATATATTTTCTGAAAGCAGAGACCCTAGATAATAGAAATGCAGTAGTTCGAAGTTTTTATGTTGCATGATATTACAGCAAAAGTTTAGTAAGAAATATAAGTAAGTTAATTTTAGGGCACAAAAATGCAATAAATTACCCTATTTTTTTGTAAAATATAAAAGATGAGGTTGCAGCGAGTAAATAGATATCCAACTTGTAAAACCTTAAATTTGTGTGCTCGTGAAATGGCGACGAACTTCAGTACCTTATATTTTCTATAGATGACACTTTTAAAGCTTCTTATAGGTCACCATATTAGTGTTACGGAGGAGGTGTGGTGCTAGAATTATTGCTCTCATTCTGGCGTGCACAGTGATATGTGACATGTGTATCGCAATCGACAGTGTCATGCGTGCGTGCCCCAGCGTGTGCTTTTACGTTTTTGCATGCGTATTTGTGGGGGTGAGGGCCTCAATATTTTTTTTTGGGGGGGGGGATGGTATGTGCTTGGGTGTAACTTTCATTTTTTACAATTAAAAAAAAAAAAAAAAAAAAATATATATGTTTTCACTTTTTGTTTTTTCATCACATAGAGGACAAAGTCCCCCATGTGATGATTTTTGGTGACAGATTCTCTTTGAGACAAGGTCTAAAAGACCCTGCATGTCTCCCCTCTGCTCCACTGAATGTAATGCGGTACACATCACACCATATTACATTCTTTCCCGGGGATTGCATTAATTTCTCAACAGAGACCCGGAAGTGACATCGTAACGTCACTTCCGGGTCAGAACAAGAAGTGGAGGGAAGTGGACTTGTCCGCTCTTCTCCCTCCTCTCTAGCCGATGGTGAGCCGGGCCTGCAGATGGGCAAGCGGAGCCCGGGAAATCTCACGCCCTGGGCGCGGAGAGCCTGGCACTGTGTGAAAGCAATCGGCGGCAGCGCTGCCACCAATTGCTTCACCTGACAGGTGAGCCCACTGCTTGCCCACAGCAGGGATAAAGGAGGGAAAAAACTACCTGCCCGGCGCCTGGAACTACATGTCCCGGGAGTCGGGCGATAGGAATCAAACATCCCTGGTACTATATACCACTTCCACTATAAGAGCAGCCCACATATTAGCTAAAGTAGGGAGCTCATGGAATTGTCATCTGAAACAGTAGCCTTGCAGATCTCCTTTCCAGTTTGGCAAGATCTAGTGAACTAGTAAACCGGATTTTGGTGACATTTCTTTTTTTTAATAATTGGACACTTGATATTACAGTATGGAAAGGGAACACAGACTGTATATTTCATTGCCTAAAATCATGAGAGTGGGCATTCTTGTCAAATGCTACATTTTCCATTTGAATGCATGCAAATGTGTTTGAATGGAAAACACAGCATTTGACAAGAAAAAGCTGCGTTTGACCTACTTTGTCCACACTTCAAATGCACTTTAACAGGACATGCTGTGTTTAAAAAAAAAAAAACACACAGTGCGATACAAAGCAGGTCCAATGCTGCCTCTGAACTGCCATGTGTACTGTTATATTAAAGTCAACAGGATTTTGCTGACCGGCATTTGACACGTTTTAAATGCATGAAATAGCAACAGTCCTGAAGGTGCCCATGCCTATGATTATTGCTCAATTCCGATAGCTATGGTCAGCGCAGTAAACAATCATATCTTTGGATTATCTGCAGCTTCTTCATACAGCCCTGGCTGAAACAGCTGATCAGCCAAATTGGTCAACTACTAATGTATATCCCACTTTTAAAAATAAGTCAATACCAGGGCTAACCTCCATTCTCTATAGCAATAAACACGCATGGTCAGATAGTGCAACTGTGTATGCTCATAGAAAAGTCCTTCATAATAGCACGATTGTCTGTGGCTAACTTTACTTACACCCAAATTGTAGCAGAGCAATATGTCTTTTTTCTCAATCCTCTGAAAAATAGACCAAGCTGTTCCATAGTCTCCTGTTAACAGAAAACAAAAAATTAGGCAATGAAAAGCTGTCCCCATCACGCAGTACCCAATACCTTACAACAGACCTTTAAGAATATGTCAATGCAAAGTCATATTGCCAAAACTGAGGTATACTCTCTAAACATTCAATGCCAAACAGCATCAATCATTGTATTATTAGGCACAATGAAAGTAGTTTTATGATTAAATAGGATTTCTAGGAAAACCTGAATTTCCTGTATGGCTAGTAGAGGTTAGTCAAATTCAATTGGACTGTAATGCTATAGAGGTTTTTTAACTTAGTCAAGCCACTTCTTCAGTTCTACTCCTCTACAGCTGGGTTGTGCACAAAAAATACATGCTCGGCTATCCAGTGGTGCTCTCTAGGGATCCACCATTGTGCCTCAGCACACCTGGTCCCACACCGCCATCTTGTTCTAATGTCATCGGGGGCAACTGCATCTTTTGGGATCTTACAGCCGGCCCCATGATGGCGTGCCATGTGCTGCAGCACATTAGGAGGCCGGCTGCAAAAACAATAAAGGGAGGTCTGCCATCTGATGATGCAGCACATGTGTCATACTATCCCACGGCCTCCTCCTGTGATATATGACTAGGGTATTCCAGGAAGCTGCAGTAAAATAAAAAAGGAATTCTTGCCTAGGCAGTAAAACAGGAAAAAGTAACTGTATGGATAATTCCCCCCCAAGTACAATAAGGGCTGGTTTACATCTGATGTAGTCCAGTGCTTTTTTTCTGCATGGAAAAAATGCATGCACAGTGCTTTCCATGTATTCTAATGGCCCTAGTTCACATCAGTGTAGTTTCCCGTGCAGAAAAAAAAAGTAGACCCCAAAAAATCCTACTCTATAGTCCTTCAGGTCTGCTCTAGACCCCCAAAAATGGGCAACAGAGGAGCCCTCCTCAACATACAACATTCTCAAAAAAACACCAAAAAAATGGATAGTGGCTCAACTCTGCCCCCTGGTTACCAATAAATAATAAACTAATGGAAAAAAAATAGATTAAAGGAATATGACACTGGATCAATAAAAACAATGATCAACCTTTGTTCAATTAAATAATTAAAATAAAAAACAAAACAAAACATGCCTATGGCCCCTTTCACAGGGGCGTTCCGTATGTCTGTTTTTAATCTGTCCGTTTACGGATAAAAAAAACAGACACCCATGTATTTCTATGGACTAGAGGATGTAAACGGATGATCATCTATTTACATCCATTAATGTCCACATCCGTTTTTTTAAATGGACAAAAACCCTATTTTTCTTCTGTAAAAAAAAAACCCAGAATGGTCGAAAAACGGATGTAAACAGATGAAAAACGGATGTAAAATGGACGAAAGACGGATGTAAACAGATGAAAAACAGATGTAAAATGGACGAAAGACGGATGTAAACACATGAAAAATAGATGTAAACGAAATCAATTAAACTCATAAAATGAATGTGAAGTCATGAAAAACAGATGTGAACTGATCCGTTTTTTTCTTGGAAAAAACATGACTGAACTGATGAAAAAAAACGTAACGCCCGTGTGAAAGGGGCCTAAAACACTACCAGCCAGCAGATCACATATTATGATTCAAATATCTTATATATTTTTTTTTCTCTACTAGTGAATCATTGTACATATATATATAAAAATCTGTATGTATATCAAAAATATATCAAGAATTTATGAGGTGGTTACTGTAATTTCCAGCTGGATGTTATGATATTTGAATATTCCAAAGTAATACTCTATGAATATTGGGTACCCATTAAATTACTGCTAGAGTAAAATATCAATAGGGATAACAAATTGGCTTATCTAAATCATGAAAGGAGCTGAAATTATGCAGATTACATTATCCTCTTATATAATCAGACTTTTCATAGGATCCCTAACCCTGGAGGAAGATGCTATAGCTGTAGATATGCCTCCAAAGTATTGATTGTTTCCCTCTCAATTGTTTCCCTCTCACAGATAACAATCAGAAGATGGTCATTTTATTCAGCTTGGCAAGGATAAATTATTATTATTTCAGGTACTTATATAGCGCCGTCAATTTACGCAGCGCTTTACATATATATATATTATACATTCACATCGGTCCCTAACCCTCAAGGGGTATACAATCTAAGGTCCCTAACTTACATTCATACATACACATACTAGGGCCAATTTAGACAGGATTCAATTAACCTACCAGCATGTCTTTGGATTGTGGGAGGAAACCGGAGTACCCGGAGGAAACCCACGCAGGCACAGGGAGCACATGAAAACTCCAGGTAGGTGGTGTCGTGGCTGGGATTCGAACCGACGACCCTAGTGCTGCCAGGCGGAAGTGCTTACCATTTAGCCACTGTGCTGCCCAAATAAATGCTAAGATGTAAATACTGTGGTCCAGAGGAGGAAATTGGGACTATAACTAATGATTCAACCAATCCCTCCTGGCAATGGTCAGCCACCTCCCTTTCACAAGCGTCCAGATATAGCATTACAGTACTCTGTGGTCCAGAGGAAGTTAAAATTGGGCATGGCCAAACTACATAGAAGTGAATTCAATATCCAATATAAAACCAAGCAGCATATGTCAAATGCACGTGCCTCTGATGCAGCCAGTTTTAAGCCATCAAAAAACCGGTTAGGCGTTTTTCATACTGCCACCAGATTCACTTAATGGGACCAGTGAATACCAGCTGTAGATGACAATGGCCTATGTGTTAAGTATATTCTCTATATTGGCTATACTGTGCATATTTCCTGAAGGCATGATTGAATGACTGTGGAATCCATCTAAGGGCTGCATTTGACATGATATGCTGCTTGGTTCTATACTGGTTGTTGAATTCACTTCTATGTAGTTTGGCCACGCCCAATTGATCATATCATCTTGAGGATATACTATCCACTTTAAATTGAAAACTGAACTTAATGTGTTATATACGTGTGTATGCCAACTAAGTTTGAATGAACTTTCAAGGCTCTCATATGGACATCTGTGAGAGGGAGGCGATTTCTTTCCTGAATGATAAGGCTGCTTAATTTAGTAACCTCCTCCGGACCACAGAGTACTGCATACAATATCTGGATGCCTGGACTGAATTGAAAACAGTACTTAATCCAGTATATATGCCAACTATGTTTGAATGAACTTTCAAAACTCTCACTTTATAGACACTTCCTTCACCTTTCTAACTGAAAACCCGTAGGTACGGGTAGAAAGCTGGAGGCTGTGTCTTCAGGATCGCAGGTGTGATGCATTGGTAAGTTCTTGTGGTAAAAAGTAATAAATGCAAATTTTCTCCTTCAAAAATGTGACTATATTAGGTTTTCCTTAAAAGGTGAAGTTAGCCTTTATTTTATGAGCCCCTCTCTTTCTTGGATTAGCGGTCTTTCAACTCCTAAACAATAAACCTTGTGTAATCTTGAAGTTATTTATGATATAATATATTTAGTGGATTATTGAATTTTTTTTACATATGTCATCATAATCTGGTTAAAGGCAGCTATTTAAAAACTTTTTTTCAGCACCATTTCCATGTGCTGCTTGCACAATAAATCTTATGTTTTACGAGTGGATGATGCTGTATAAAAAGAATTGTGTTGCTCCACTCCATCTCTATGATTAGGCCCTGATAGGTGGAGCGAAAGCCATGAGATGAGGCTCAGGAGGAGCTCAAGGCTGAAGCCATTAATATTTCTTTTCACCTGTTCAGCTAGTGATGTGCGGCTTTCCTCATCCCCTCATACCCAAGTAGGTTCACTTGGTTACTAGTGCCAAACACCTCAGTGTATATGAGCATTCTCATAAGACAGCAGTTAGTAAAGCTTAGCCAAGAAATCAGAAAAGTCCAGCCCTAGTAAAGAGTGAAACTAAATTTAGAGAGGAGGCACAGAAGAGGCTATGCTGGCTAACAAATATAACAGAAGGCATCCAGTTTGGTTACCGGGTCTTATTATAAAGCATTTAATACAAAAAACGGTTTCATTTTAAAAGTAACATAGCGCTAAAAACTTTCATTATTGGTACATACTTACCATACCTTTCTCCTTAATAGTCAGATATAAGGGTAAAATTTTAAACCCACTCATAATAGTGTTTGTCTGTATAATTGGATAATAAAAAATATAAATACTTCAGATTCTATTTCCTTTAAGGTCAATTTTGGTTTACGTGTAAAATCCTTTTCTTTGAGTACACCACAGGACAGTCACGACAGGTTAGGTTATGCTGCCACCTTCAGGTGAAAGAACACTGGTCAAAGGGCTCCTAGGTTAGCTAAGCCTCAGTTTTGTAGCAAGCAATGAAGACACAGACACAAGAGATGGATCTCTGTGTCCTCTGATATTGACCAGAAAACCATTTTACAGGTAAACAAAAACCCTAATTACTTAACCATTCATCACAGGACACCGGGGACTCTATTTATGACTACTTTGGATGTTCCAAAACACCTAACATGAGGGATGGGCAACACAGCAACAAGCTAATATACATAAATCAATGTCCTAAGAATACAAAAACCTTGTGAAAAACCCTCTAAAGAAGTCTCACTTTCCCCCTTGAAAGTATGAATTAATTAAATACCCTTCTTAGTGTTCATATAATTAGTCAAATACCCTTCTTAGTGTCCATATAGTCAATATAAACAATCAAAATTTAATAAAAATAACAAAATAAAGTCCATAAATAATTTCTTCCAAAAACTCGCCATGTAAATCCAGTATGTGCCGTATACCTCAAAATAAAAAAAAAACTCAATAGTACATTATCCTTACATAAATTCATCAAAATATCACAAATACTTATACCAAAAAAACCTTATAGGTCTCATGCAAAACGCATAAATCTACACTCCCTTGGCATCAGGGACTCCGCTCTCTCCTGGTTCTCCTCTGACCTATCCCAACGCTCCTTCAGTGTTACCTATAACGCTGCCACCTCCCTCCCTCTCTCCCCCTCTCTGTTGGGGTCCCCCAAGGCTCTGTCCTCGGATCCCTT